CTGCAGCAGAGTGCCGCCGGCCGCCGGCCCCCCTCAGGTGTGACGATGACGGCGATATTCGCGGCTGCTTCTGTCGATAAGTAGCCGAGAGTGAGCACAACGGTGACCTCACGTCAGTCGTCCAGCCATCACCGCGCGGTCCCACGGCGCTCACGCCTGCCGCCGCAGACACGTTCCTCAACTTGGACGTGCGCAGGCGCGCCATGGCGCGGCTGTTCGGCAACAAGCTGTGGCAGGCGACCCGCTTCGCGCTGCGACACCTGGCCGACATGGCTACCGCTGCGACGAGCAGGCCAAGGTGAGAGGAGGGGCGCCCAGCGGCCGACACCGGCTACCGCTGCGACGAGCAGACCAGGTGAGGAGGGAGGGGCGCCCAGGTGAGAGGAGGGGCGCCAGCTGGCCGACGACGGCTACCGCTGCGACGAGCAGACAGGTGAGAGGAGGGGCGCCCAGCTGGCCGACACCGGCTACCGCTGCGACTAGCAGACCAGGTGAGAGCGGCCGCCCGCCCAGACACGGCGCGAGCGAGGACCCCAGCTGGCCGACAACCGGCTACCGCTGCGACGAGCAGACCAGGTGAGAGCGGCCGCCCGCCCAGACACGGCGCGAGACGAGGACGCACAGCTGGCCGACACCGGCTACCGCTGCGACGAGCAGACCAGGTGAGAGCGGCCGCCCGCCCAGGCACGGCGCGAGCCGAGGGACGCCCGACTGGCCGGCGCGGGCGGGCGGCGCACGCGGCCAGCCGGGAGAGACTCGGCGCGAGGTCGGTCCGCGCCGCCGCTAGAGGGCAGCACAGTATCGTCTCCGATTGCCAGCTCCGCCGCCATGCTAATCCCGGTGGCCAGCTCCTCTGCTGTACTGGTGGTCCCCTGCACTGAGACGCAGCATCCTCTGAACACTGCTTATGTACCGACGTCATGCTAGGCAGGTGGTCCCTGTTGTGAGGGAACTCTGAGTGATGCGCGCCCTTCATCTGCAGGTGGTCTCTGTTGTGTGGGGACTCTGTGTGATGCCTGCCCTTCATCTGCAGGTGGTCTTTGTTGTGTGGGGACTCTGAGTGATGCCTGCCCTTCATCTTCAGGTGGTCCCTGTTGTGTAGAGACTCTGTGTGATGCCTGTCCTTCATCTGCAGGTGGTCCCTGTTGTGTAGGGACTCTGTGTGATGCCTGCCCTTCATCTGCAGGTGGTCTCTGTTGTGTGGGGACTCTGTGTGATGCCTGCCCTTCATCTTCAGGTGGTCTCTGCTGTGTGGGGACTCTGTGTGATGCCTGCCCTTCATCTGCAGGTGGTCTTGTTGTGTAGGGACTGTGTGATGCCTGTCCTTCATCTGCAGGTGATCCCTGTTGTGTAGAGACTCTGTGTGGTGCCTGCCCTTCATCTGCAGGTGGTCTCTGTTGTGTAGGGACTGAGTGATGCCTGCCCTCCATCTGCAGGTGGCCTCTGTTGTGTGGGGACTCTGTGTTATGCCTGCTCTCCATCTACAGATGGTCCCTGTGGTGTAGGGACTCTGTGTTATGCCTGCCCTCCATCTACAGGTGGTCCCGGCTGCGGGACGCGCAGGCGCCGCTGAACCGCTGGATGCTCAGCTGTCTCAGCGCCTGCGTGGAGACGTGCAGCACCAGTATGGAGCAACACTGCCTGCACACGGCCACCAACGTCATGCACTACACCACCTTTACAGACATTCTGCGGACGTCTACCTGGTGGGAAGACACCGAGACTTTTAGCTTGGATTGGTAGAAAGTGATCATCGATATGGGTGTGCCACAATCCCAGTTATGATTCTGTCGTTCATTTCTGCTCGACGAAGTGCTGCCCCTGGTAACCTTCCTTTCTAAGCTCCTGTATGCGAAAATTATATGGTTCCTTTTGTATTTCGCTGTGCGAGCCAAATGCTATAATACCTTGCAGTTTGTATCTATGCAATGCTTTCTCATCAAGTATCGGTTGCTTATAGAGTGGAGATGCATAATTCCTTCAGTGATTAGCCCGCTTTGCAAGTTATCTCGTGTCCGTGCATCACATTATTACCAATCGTGACCAACTAGTAGATCCTTTTGCTGTTTTATTTTACCTGTTTGGAGCTTTCCTTGAGAGGACGTGAACTTCACGTCATCTAAATTAGCGCTGTCCTTGGGCCTTACACTGTCACCGTTTGGGCCTTTGATGGTCCAAAAGTAGACACATCCGGTAAGTCTCAGCCTCCAGCGCCGCGTGGCCCTTGCTCACCGGTGCCCAGCTCCACGTTGGCACGGGCCTCCGGTGCCCAGTAGGACTGAACGCTGTCTTGGGCCTGCGCCAGGAGGGCTGCGAAGCCGGTGCTGCTCGCCGCCGAGCCGGCCCGCCAGCGCGCCGTCTGTGACGTCATGCTGGCCGTGCTTGGGCACCGGACTGCGGCCTGCTGCACCCGTTCATTGCCGCACCTGACCGAGGAGCTGAACCAGACGCTGGCGCCGCTCACCGAGTGAGCGGCGCTCCTGCTACATCAGAGTTCCCGGAGCCGGGCGAGGTGCGGGCCTCACTGGGATGGGACGGTGTTACTCGCGCGGTTTGGTCAAGCCGTGCCATGCGGCAGAAATGTGTCACGGAGGGCCACAGATGCTCTGGTATAAGTGGCTGGACTTCTTTTCAGTGGGTGCAATTGGAGGGATGAGAGCCTGGAGGCGTCTTTCGTGACCTGTTTGGATGCTGTCCGGGGTCTCAGAGCTGTCAAGAAGAAGTACCGGGTCACCAAAAGCTCACCGGAAGGTAAGCGTTTGCGACACATCGACTGCGTCGCGGCCAGGCAGCCGTCGGCTGGTGGATCGGAGAACTGCCGACGAGTCCTGGTGACGCGCCGATATCAGCCGTATGTGAGCCGCGGCCAGCAGCCGTCGGCTGGTGGATCGGGGTCCGCCGATGTTCTGGTGACGCGCCGACATCAGCCGTATGGTGAGCTGCGGCCCCCAGCACAGCCGTCGGCTGGTGATCGGGGGTCCCGCCGATGTCCTGGTGACGGCAGCGACATTAGCCGTATTGTGAGCTGCGGCTCCCAGCGGCTGTCGCTGACCTCTGCCTCTGCGCACGCGTCTGGCCGCCCCAGCGCGTCTTCGTGCTTGGCAGCTGTGTTTTACAACTGGTGGCACGACGATATTGTAAAATGCTCTCTGTGTCCAGCAGGCGTCTGCGATTAACTGCCTCATTATTCCCTTTTCGGCGATGGGCTACTTCGTGGAGTTGGCGCAGCGGCCCTTTCTACCCTCGTGTCATGGATTGAGGCTTGAAACTTGAATTGTCATTGGCTACGAAAGCCAGAATAACATCAGTTCGTAGGGTCTCAGGGCCCGCATGGTCAGGGTCAAGGGGCCCAGTCCGGGGGTCCTCATGCGTAGAGTGGTTCGCCAGCTCAGTAGGTCTTGCCGGGCATAGGCCATCCGAGCGTAGATATTCCAAGAAAGGGTCTTCCCTGTGTCGCATGGTGTTCCGTAGTAGTTTTCCGGTCTGCAAGGTGTTCCGGTAGTAGGTTCCGGTCGCAGGTGTTCCGGTGGAGTAGGTTTTGCACCGATCTGTAGGAATTGGGGGGGTAGATCTACATTGTAGAATATCCTGGGAGTAAGTTCTCCCGAGCGTAGGCGTTCCCAGCACAGGCCCTGCTGTTGGGTGCCCGTACTGGTTTGCTCCGAGATGACCCGGCCCGGTGTGACCTGATCGCTACTGCTTGTCGCCGGCTGTGGACGGTGCGTTCGAAGGGCCGCTAAACAGGTGCCAGACGTCGGCCGAATGTACGCATAACAGCAACGGAAGGAGCTTACATCCGGCAATGGTACAGAGATGATCGGTCGTCAGGTGCGATGATGCGTGGTGTGGAGCCGGCCGGCGCTCTGTACTCTGTCGCCGGCATTGATGTGCTCCCGATGTCCGATAGATGGCAGAACAGACTGCAGTGCCGCCTCACTTCGCACAGCACAAGACCGGCATTGCTAGGTTTTATCTACCAGCTCCCTGCGGGTTCTGTTGAATACTTTAGATAGTCCTTTCTTATTCTTCATTGTAACTAGCGCGTTAAGACTGGACTGCCTCTTGGCCGTGAGACACTCACGAATGTTGCTGATGTTAATTTGGGCTTTTGGGCGCGCCGACTGCATAGTTCATATTGCGCCCATAACGTTGCACTCACGAATGGGGAGCCTGGAAGTACGAAGTCGCGTTTTGTTCCTGAACGGAACGCCTTTGTGGAAGTCTACCTCAGCGGTATAAAATTGGACTCGTTTGATCATATCTTCAAATCGCTTATACTTGGATGACATCCATGCGGAAGTACACACGACCTGTTCCAGCGATCCACCCAGCAGCCGCGCTGCGCTCTCACTGTTGGTGGTCTGATTACATCCCTCGCATCGGTCGCGAGGAGTGGACAGCCTGAGATTATTAGCCAGACCCGCAACTGGTGCTGGTGCATATCGTCTTGCTCAATCTCCTACCAAACTGATCATCTGAAAAAAACAGCGGAAATTTTGCTCTTGGTTGACCAACGGGTTTGTCAGCACGACCCGCCCCTGCGAGACACTTCGCCTATCTCTCCATGTGCAGTTGAAGCGAGACTGAATAAATCGTGTAATGCGGGCCACGCTTCACTCGTTCAACCGTTTGGTTTTGTTAGTTTTTCTGACGGATTTGCCTTTGGGCTTGTCTAAGATTCGCAAATCGTGTGGCGGTTTCTGTGATGCGACTCTTTCTGTTCACCGGCTTTACATATTTAATCATGTGATTTTCAGCGGTTCATTTCTTTTACCAGGTCTTTCATGTTTTTTCATCTTTTTCAGTTGTCTTTGCGTCTTATTATTCTCCTTCATGTCCTCGTCCTATCCCTTCAGGAGATAGATCGTCACTTTCCACGGGCGCTTTCCTCAATGGATGTCTCCGGTGTTGCTGTGTACCGTTGTGGTCTCCATCCGGACTAGCCCACCACGGCCTTGCCAGGAGCTTGAAATGTCCGCCTTATTGCAAGATAAACACTTTCCCCGCGACAGCCACGTTGGTGACGCAGGCTGCCCAGCGAAACTGGTCAAAAGCACCGGCGAAAAAAAAAACCGCAGCAAATAGTCCAGTTGGTGAGACCTTCCAGCAACGATCCCGCACTTTTGTAGAGCCATTTAGCACGCACCGCAAACATCCGCGTCGACCCGCCGCAGACCTCCGCCCAGTGAGAGACCGGGCGCTGACCTGGCCGTGGTGCGCGCCGGCAGTGCACCTGAGGCATGCGGCCCGAGCTGTCGGCCGAGCTGGCTACCGTGGTCTCCACGCTGTCCCGCTGCCGGGTCCGGCCGGCACCGGCCGCTGAGCACCGCGGCCTCCTGGTGCAGGGCCACAACTGGAGAGCGCACGTGGACCTTGCAGGTGAAAGTTGGCGCCGGCGCACGCCAGCCCACCAGCACGGGACGCTCGTGGTGCGCCTGCCGTTCTAGTTTGTGCTACTGTTGTGAGAAGCGGGTTGTAGCCCTCGCCAGTCACCACACACGGACCTGCAGAAAGGTGGTTCAACTGAACATTCTTACGGCCAGGGGATTGCATTTATATCCTGCGAAAGTGATTTTGGATTGGATAATTTTCCCGACGTAGGTTTTATTGCATGGGGCCTCTAGGCCATCAAAACCTCCTCCTCTCTCTCCCCTGCGTGTCTTGACAAGGAGTGGCCAGGAAAGTTTTTTTTTCAAAGAGGGCACCAGTGCGCTCCTCGCTCTCTCCTCTCTCTCTCTCTCTCTCTCTCTCTCTCTCTCTCTCTCTCTCTCTATCTCTCTCTCTCTCTCTCTCTCTCTCTCTCTCTCTCTCTCTCTCTCTCTCTCTCTCTCTCTCTCTCTCTCTCTCTCTCTCTATCTCTCTCTCTCTCTCTCTCTCTCCTCTCCTACGTCAAGGTCATGCATTCACGTGACATGTGGCATCGCTCTCTCGTATGTCAGGGTCACGTGGATGTAGCCGCCGAACTGGACCAGCTGAGGTCCAAGAGGGAGAAAACTGAGGCGAAACTTGCTGCTCTAGACGCCCTTATGCAAACGAACAAGTTCGGAAGGCGACCGACGAAAATGAAGGATCAAGGAAGAGCTCGGGTGAGTAACATGCATACGGCCAAATGTAATATACAACATCCTTCCGCGGCGGCTCAATGTGGCTTTCGACGATGAAGGCAGGATGTTACATTTACATTTATGTGCTCCGCGTATTATGGTTAGGGTCTCCCCGCACGGTCGCATTGCCGTATGGTAGACTTATACTATGTATACTATGTGCTATGTACCTGTGTTTCAATGTATATACTAAGTTATGTATGTACTATGCCCTATATACTATGTACTTATACTATATATGTTTTACTGGCTGACTGACATATGACTGACTGACATGCATGACTGATTGAGATACGTGACTGATTATGAATGACACACATGGCTGACTATGAACGACATATTTCGCTGATTGACTGACATTTGACTTAGCTGTGCTATATAACTATGCTATATCATGACTGACTGATGAGTATAAGAGTATGGTAATGACCAGCCGTGCATTTCCAGAGAGTACTGCTTGCAGAAGAAGTGGAGAGATTGAAAGAATGTGAAGATGACATAAGTGGGCTGAGTTGACGGCCACCATCAAGTATTCGCTTTCGTCGAAACGCTTTTGGTTCGGTCCTGTAGCCGAAATGTGTGCAGTAGGTGCGATGTGAAACTGACGCATGTTTGAAAATATAGGGACCTCAGTGGACACCAAAATGCTTTATAAGAGAGCCATCGAAACCGCCAGAGCCATGGGCCTGAGGTGCCCCGACTGTTGTAAGTGAGCTACACGAGTGAGAAACGGAAGCAGCACACCAGAAGTACTCGGTATTTTGATGTCCCGAGTTTCGACGCGCGCGAGCCCAGGCACAATAGGCAGAATTCGAGAAAGTATAAATTCGTGGGAAGGAATTCAGCCAAATCCAGTTTCGTTTAAACATTCAAAATTATATGTTAAATCAGTAAGCTGTCCCTCCAAGTGTTTGGCTAACGGTACAAATTACACATAACTGCTCAATTTGGGTTCAGATATGCCGCCACGTAAGGAAGACGGTAAATTGAGCCCGCTGATCACTCCTGATCCCCACTACATTCCCGGGTAAGCCACATTTGTGGGGGGAAAAAGCGTGATCGGTTCTTTTGTTACGTTACTTAAAAATGCATGGGCTCTTTGAAGTATTCACGAACGCACATCATATACCAATGATATCCAGCGGTCCATGGTAGTGTTTTGTGGGTCGTCAATGGTCCGATAATCTCTGCCATAGGTTAAACGATAGTTTCGTACATCGGAACCTATGCCGCTGGGAAGTGCTCAGTCATATGTGGCTGGGTGGATAAGTGCGTCCATTTACAAAACTGCCGTTGCCATTGGAGCTGCGTTTGAACAAATGTCTAAACGAGAATGTGGCCTCTTATGATGTCTGTTGTTCTTTTGCAGCTACCAGGGCCATGTCCCCGGTTTTTTGTTCGATTTTGGGGCCACATTCGGTCATATGTCCAACAAATTGCTCACCGATCCCTGCATACCGGGCTCAGGAAATCTGGTTAGGCCGCTGAACTTCAACGTGGGGCGGTCCGACGTGAGTATTCACATCGGCGAATAAGTGAAGCATGCTCACTCGGACCGTTTCGGTAGCTTACGACGTACCCCTCCTCGTGCTCTTGGTAAATGTTCCCGCAGTGCCCTAAACCGCGTCGTGCACTTATGGGCCACAAGTTGACTTGTACACACAAATAAAAAAGTGTACACAAAGACGACATTTCGAAGTGTCATTTTGAGGCGTCCCAAAATCAAAGCATTACAATCTTGACGTTACCGATAGTGGCATACGGCATGACTCCGTCGGGCTGAGCTCCGTTGACGCGTCATCTGCGGATGTTCCACAGCCGTCGCTCGGCCCCCTGGTGCGCTCGTCAGGGTGCAACTTCCCGCGGCTGACCACCAACATGGTGCCCGGCTTCTCCGGCCGGATCCCCGCCTACGACAACGTGTTCGGCCTGAGCTACGCACGCGGCACGGAGAAGGCTATACGGGACTTCGAGTGTAACCAGGTGAAGGCCCGTCAGCAGCGGCAGCACGTCAACGCACTGGCTGCCATGAATACTTGCAATACTGGCCGGTCCGGCTACAACGCAAATTGCCCGGTGCCGTTGTGGAGCCGTAACAACCAGGGCTTCCGAGCTGCTGGTGGCGGCACGTACGAAGGCCCGTACGACCGACAGGCGCCCTTCCAGTTTGTCGAGTCGCCCTACTTCATGGGCAACGATGACCCGCGCAAGTTCTTCATGTCGGGCTACACGGGTTTCGTGCCCAACACCCAGCCGGTCATTGGCAACGTCTTCCCAATCACCACCAACAAGGGGCTGCGCAAGTTTACGGATGAGCAGTGCCGGATCCGTCAGAACTTCTGCAAGCCGGTGGTGGTGAGCACAAAGAGCCGCCAGTACGACCCGCCTGACGAGCAGGTGTACGACTGCGGCCGACAGCTCCCGAGAACGATGAACATTCCCGACATAGGCGGCCAGTTTGACCCGTCTCTGATGGTGGGCTGCGGGCCGCACGCCCTCAACCAGCACAACCCCAACGAGGACTTCCTCCTGAACCGGGCCAAAGTGTCGCCGGCTATCATGAACCAGGTGCCGGCGCTGGGCCAGGACCGGCTGCGCCGCAAGATGCAGATGTTCAAGCGGAAGGACCCGCACCCGATCTACCGCGTCCAGGAGGGGCTGCTGCCCACCTACGGCGGACACGTGCCCAACCAGCAGTTCCGCTTCGGCGGCACGTTCGGAAAGGAAACGGTCAACGCCAGGAGCATTCATGCCGTTGTTGTTCGACCATGATAGCCACGACCGAATTCATCCGCGAACCTTTCATTTCTACTTGCGTCAAAATGCGTAGAGCATCGACTTCCAAACGAGGTGTTTAAAACAGGCGCCGTTTTCGCCATCGGCTACAACCTGCATCGGAGCAAAACGGTGTCACTTAACGCCAGTCACAACGCGCGTTAACTGACACTCCTTCAGAAAAGTACGCTGAATGTTTCCCGTCTCATTTGTCAACAATATATTAGTCTTGCGAGTACATGACGTGGAACAGACTAGAGACGTATTAATCACATCGTCGATGACGTGCGATAAACCCAACCTGCCCGTTTTCTTCTAAACGAGAAATCATGTCCACACGTGTTAGGGTGGGATAAGCAGGGCGGCAATGACAGTACTAAACCAAATGTCCACTGAACTTCGGGCACGCCAGAATCACTACACTTTCCACATATCGACTAAAATATAACGCAACAAGACATCCAAAACACAAAAGCCGCCTCTGGGTAGGTGGACTACTGGACGTTAGCATCACTAAACCGACCCAGTCCGGCGCCTTCACTGCTTGTCCAACAGGGCAGCCCCCCCCCCCCCTACTTCCGCAAATGCTAGCAGCAACACCATCACGTAACACTTTGGGAAAACCGGTTAAAACTTGGTTTGACCCACTTCCCTGCCAACTCCCGAGGGGTTTCATCACCACTGTGGTGCGGTGTCAACCAGCCAATGACTCTGATCGACCACGGCGTGGCGCCAGCTGAGCGGCCAGTTCAGACACACCACCCAGCGCGGGACATATAGGCTCAGCTGGCGGCCGGCAGTCTCTCAGTCATCACGTCCGGTCTAGTCGCTCATTGACTCTTTCAGTTGCTTCAGAATGCCCTCCGCCTTTTCTAGATTCTTGTCGTCCTGCGAAAACCAATGACGACGCGTGAAGGCCATCAAAGCAAAACAGGAAATGCCAGTCAAGGGAGAACATGTTAACAGCTCAAAACAATTCCTTTTATATGGACATACGCACATCCCCGAGGCAACGAACACCCCGAATGCAAGCGATACTCCTTTTCAGCAAGGATAAAATTCGCCCTGGCCGTTGTCTCGCTACGCTGTCTCAAAACACCACCCCGTGCATTACTCTGCAGATGCGGTCGGTGAGCGTACCCCACTAACACGTCCCGCACAGCGTCGGCGAGACCCGCCGTCGCACCGAGTGAGGTCCAGAGGAGCAGAGCATTAGCCCCGCTCAAGCACACAACCGCTGACATAGAAACACTGCCCAATTGTCGTCAGCGTAGGCAGATTATCAGTGAAGTTTGCGTCCGTGTAGAAGCCATAACCGACGAAACGCAACACGCGTGCCTATGCCCGAGCCACGTGTCGCCAAGTGTACACGCGTCAAATGTCGTGGTCATATAGCGACACAGCCGCGGCGTGCCACGGACAGCTACGCATTAACGACGCCAATCAACACACCGCACCTCGGAGTGAAAGGCTGCGACAAAAGACCGTCATCGGACTTGGTGCGAGCTCCACCAACCTTTATAAAGCAGAATCGAATGTAGTCCTCGCCGAGGCTCTTGTGCTCGTCCGAGTAGAACGACGACGGCGGGATGCCCTGCAGCTTGTGGTGGTGCACCAGCCAGTACACGAACCGGTGGTCGTCCGGCTTACCGGGCGCGTACGGCGACAGGTCGATCTTCTTCTTGTCTGAAAACGGCCGCCCCGTCATGGCTGTTGCCGCTTACCACTCTGATGCATGGACGCAAAGAACCCTTTTATGCGGACGTCCCGCTGCTACGGACGTCCCGGAGGCAAGCGGTACTACTTTTCATTACGAGTAGAATTGGCTCTTGCTGTTGTTTCACTACGCTGTTCCAAAATACCATCTCGCACATCAGTCCGCATGTGGGACCAGTACGTGTACACCACTAACACGACCCCCGCTTTGGTCGGCCAGCGGTCGCCGTCTCACCGAGCGATGTCCAGTCCGCGATCATGAAGTAGCCGCCCTCGGGCACGATGGGCGTCATGCCGCAGTCGGTCAGGAAGCGAGCCATGAAGTCACGCTTGGCCAGCAGCTCCTCCGCCAGCGAGGTGAAGTAGCACTCCGGCTGGCCCATCAGCGACAGCTCGTGCTCGAACGAGCGCGCCAGCGCCTCCTGCCGCCGGCGGAAGCACCAAAGGCTGGTCACGGCGGCGGCGCGGAAACCTTGCCCGTCAGCGTCCGGGGACATCAGCCCAGCCCAGCCCAGCCCATACTTTCGTGCACTGTTATCGATGGCAGACACAGAACAGAGCTATTTGAAACGGAGGGCAATGTAGAACGTGTTCAACAGCACCTTTGCGAGCACAAGTGTTTAATAAGGGACTATCAATACGTTATGTTCCCACTGCCCTCTCCAACTGATCCCTGTGCTTGGTGATTGGTCTGCCATGTCATGCCTGTCACGTCATACACGGCTTCCACAGCCAGTAACACGCCCGAATCGAAATGCAGTGCCAGTCCCAAATTGCCACATAGGTGGCACGGCAAGGTACCTGCTATTCCCGTTCGAACAGCCCTTTCCCTACCCGAACCCGACCTCGGCGCGCAAAGCCGTTTGACGAGAGCAGCGGCCGCCGCCGCCGGTCGGCCCGGACCCCACTGACCTGGAGCGGCGTGTTGCACGCGTACAGCGTGTTCTGGTGCACCACCTGCATGTTGCGCACCAGCGAGGCCGGCCCGTACGCCCAGCCGAGCTTCCAGCCGGTGACGCTGAACGTCTTGCCGGCCGAGCCGACCGTGATGGTGCGCTCCCACATGCCGGGCAGGCCGGCGATGCGCACGTGCTCGGCCGGGGCGAACACATCCACTCGTACACTTCGTCGGAGACGCACAGCACGTCGTGGCGGTGGCACAGCTCGGCGATGGCCTCCAGCTCGGCGCGCGTGAACACCTTGCCCAGCGGATTGTTGGGCGTGTTGAGCACGATCATCTTGGTGCGCGGCCCGAAGGCGGCCTCCAGCTCGGCCGGGTCGAGCGCCCAGTCGGCGGAGGAGCCGGTGGCGGCGCCGGGCCGCCGCCGCAGCGGCACGAACACCGGCCGGCCACCGGCGATGCGCACCATCGGCTCGTAGCAGTCGAAGAACGGCTCGATGATGATCACCTGCCGGGCCGAGGCGGCTCAGACGAGCGCGACGGAACGGAGGCGAGACGCCGCCCGCCGGCGACGGACGCGCGGCGACGGACGGACGGCTCGACCGGCGTGAGCAGCATGACGCCGCGGCAGCCGGCTAACGCCACCAGACAGTGTCGCGGCGCAGCAACGCGATCAGTCAGTGCGCTGTACGGTATATGTAAGACGGGTATCCGGGTGATATTCTACTGAATTCTTAACATTTCTACTGCAGCGCACGACGCACTCGATTCTGACACAACGATTCTGACCCTTGACTTTCAACAGCACGGCATAATGAATTATGACGTAACAACAAAACGAAACAACATTTTGAGTTCAGGTTCTGGCTCAGGACTCTGCACTGGAATTGATTCACAAGTTCGCTCAAATAAGTCCAGTTCATGCAAGCAAGACACGCTCCTGGTTTTTCAGCATTATGAGTTTTAAGTTCATATGCTGATAAAAATCTACCTTCAAACAGTGGCGAAACTAGGGTTTCGTCAAGAGGGGGGGGGGGGGGGGGGGAGGACGACAACATTGTGTGCCCGCTTGACTTAGTATACGCGTACAGAGAGCTTGGTCATTTTCTTCAAATCATGGCAGGCCCCGCCATTTTCGGGCCAAGTATTTAGGAAAAAATATGGCAGAATGAACTAAATATAGCTACCAAATGACGTCAAAACCAAACACGAACTTTTGTTCGATTGATAAATTTGAGAACACCTGGGTTTCTTGCAAACTCGCAGTGTGAATAAAATAATTGCGCTGCCCAAAATCTATGAGCATGATAAGCAAATCGCAGCATTCCTACGGCACATCGCTTGTCCATGGTCACACAAGGCGTCTTACTCCCTCCAATTACTGCTACTCCAAACGCTATAATGATAAGTTCCCTTCTTCGGACTGGTCGACACATTGATTGATCGATGGGTTGGCTGAGACCATCGCAACGGTCAGAGGAATTGGTTCATTTTGGATCCCGCACGGGCGGCAAAACCGCGCTCCAGCTTGACAGACACTGCTCTAGTCGAGCCCATATGTTTGAACAAAAGTGACAAGTCATGCCACGCCATGGCTAGTCATGCTGAAGAGCACACACGCAGGTAGCGCAGGATTACCAAATCTCCACACTTGAACACACCGCCGATGGTTGGAGCAAGCGGCAAGGTATTTCCACTGATAGGGCGTCTGAACACAAAACTACCACCCGGGAGCGCAGCCACCCGCCGCGGCGCACTATGCGCCAGTGTGGTGGTTAGCTACGCAGCTCAAGGACGACCAGCCGAAGCCTCATTTATACAGGTTTCAATTTAAAACTATACAGTTATATATGGGCGAAAATGACCATCGCAGTCAGAGCACCCTAAAACTCCAATCATCATTATCATCACAATAAAATTATATAACGTAATAAATTTTGCATGAATTTCAGGGACACGCCTTGTCATATCATGAGCAGGTAACCACACCACTGGTCATAAACTTCGATAACGCCGAGGTTCACATCTATACGTTGAAATTGAGATTAGAAACACACCTAACAGGCCATTACGACAGTCTGGAAAATGATGCCCGACATTTGCGAGCTCGTAAACCACTTGACTAATGTCACTGCAGCCGCATGTGAATGTCCATGAGGGATGAAGGTATCCCTCACATGTTACCGACGCCCCTCAGCTATTTTAAAGGCTATCAGGCGTCCGAGTCGTCGCACGTGTCATTCACATATCGAACGCACGTTAGTTGCGACTACTGCTTAATGCTAGTTAGTGCTACATAAATATTGTAGAACACGCATTCGCAGCTCTGATTTACTTTTTTCAAAAACTGGCGCTGTGGCGGCATTCCCAAACAAGCTCACCTGCACCCGAGGCACCATTACGCTCGGTAGCACTAGCTTTAATCACCCGCCGGTTACTTCAAAGGCCTGACCTAACCAATGTCACTTTACCGTTTGTTCAACCTAGACCATCGCCTTTTCACTTGTTCAACTTAAACACATCAGTCGGAGACGCTGTGGCTCGGGAGGAACGTGGAATGAGCGCGAGCACTGAATGACTTGGCTGTTCAGTCGCAAAAGGACCAAAACGCACTCGCAAACAGGGCGCTCATCCTCTCCCACTCACAAATGCGCTCGATCTCCTCTACTCTCTTACGCACTCCCAGTTCACTCTTTCCGTCTCTGGCTCATCACCACACTCTCTTTGTCTCTCCGTAACATTGCAGCGCACAGGCGCTGTAGCACCGCTCGGCTCTAGCCGGCCGGGATCGGAGTCGGGCCCCCAGGGCGCCGGTCAACGCTCCCTCCCCCCCCCCCCCCCGGCGCCGGTAAGCGAACTCGCCAGGGCGCCGGTCAGCGGGACCGCCAGGTCTCGTCTCGTGTGGCATCGCGTGATGCTTGAATACAGCCGCCGTTAGATCACGGCGCGGCCTGAAGACTCCGCTCCGACGCTGCCATTACTGGCCTGATGGACGCCACGCTCTTTCCCCCCCCCCCCCCCCCTGAACACTAAACCCATCTCTCTCAACTGACTCACGGACTCAACCCAGTTCTCTCAACTGGCTCATAGACTCTAAATCCACCTCTCACCTGACTCACCTTCCTTGCCCCCTCTAAGGAATTCCTTAACGACAGGGACAGTGGCCTTAAACAAAACTGACGGCCATACAAATACGGTCCGCAGCTTAGTGCTTCACGCAAACTGCCTTCTCCAGCGTCGAATCACCAGCGCTTCTGAGCCACTCGTACCATTAACTTCCCATCGGTACAATCACGTGGTACATGGGTTCTCAACGCAGACGCCGCGCCGCGTCTGTCGGCGTCGCGCCATACTTGGGCCGTCCTCACCTCATCGCCAGGGTTGACGTGGCCCAGGATGGCGTTGTAGAGGCTGCCGTAGGCGCCCTGCGACACCAGCACCTCGGAGAACGGGTCGATCGTGCGGCCCAGCACGCCGCCGTACAGCTTGGCCAAGACGTTGACGAGGCGCGGGTGGCCCTGCCGGCGACAGCGGAGCGTCGGTCGGGGCTCCGACCGGCCGCGACGACCCGGTCCTCGCGGGTAGGGCCGGTCCGGAGCGCGGAGCGGCGGCCGCGACGACCCGGTCCTCGCGGGTGGGGCCGGTCCGGAGCGCGGAGCGGCGGCCGAGACGACCCGGTCCTCGCGGGTGGGGCCGGTCCGGAGCGCGGAGCGGCGGCCGAGACGCCGCAGACCGTCATCAATGCGTACCGTAGTCAGAGAACGATGGGCAGATCCAACTACATGCTTTCAACTCTGAGAAGCTTTTTAACGCCCCGTTTCAACTTGATAGAGAACTACGTGACTGGCCATGATCATCGATTTGTTGCTGCAATGCCGCACCACACCTGCCTGTATGGATAGGATCGCTGCGCGCCAAAAATGGTATCACCACAGCGATGCCTGCTGAGTCCAGGTGACGACGATCACAAAAACATGGGCACGGATGGACGCGAGACCGCCACCTGTTCTACAACGCAAGCCACCTGATCTGCTGGCTAAAGAATCGTCCCTATAACCGCTGCGTAGGTGCAGTCCCGCGGCGCGCTGGCCCGGCGGCGGCCGTCTGGGCAGCCGCCAGGCATCGCTGCAGCACGCTCCGCCCACGCGACTCACGTATCCGCGGGTGTACTGGTTCAGCAGCAGGTTGGGGTCGGCCATGACGTCGGCCACCCCCTGAGTCACGTGCTTCGGGCAGCCATAGTCGGGGAATCCCTGGCCCAGGTTCAGAGGCTTGTTCTCCAGTGCCAGCTGAATGAATTCAACCCTGCCAGAGGTGGACAAGTGGGCGTTGTGATCCGGGCATCCCCAGAAGGAGGTTACGAAGCTGTTTTGCATTAGGGACGGCGATACCACACACACGAATTTGACATTCCTCTGGCCCCGCATTGCAGGAAGCTGGCAAATGTAAAAACCGTTCACACGGCCGCTTTCTTTACGAGTGTCGGACGAACACATCCCGGGCTATACGCCCCGAATATTCTACCAGCGTACTACTTGCCCTGAATGCGTCATACGAGTCGACAGCTATCGCCGCCGCAAGCATAATATGCTTTCTTCCCCCGCTCCCGCCTGGTCCCGCTGGACATCCTTAAAGGGGAGAGGAGCCCACGGAATTTTGTTTGAACGTTTGAATGCCTAATGCACAATTTTTCTTAATTCTAATTTTAGACGATTGCCGACGGCCTTTTACTGCAGGTTACTTGCATTCCCGAACATTGCAGATGAATTAAGCAAACATTTGTAGTTCAGGTATGACGTGAACGGCGAGGGGCAGGTCATCTTGGATCCCAACTAGAGCAAATTCGGACATGCATCACACGTGACACTTCCCGATAGTCACCTGCTTTTGACGCTCGCTCGACGGGCCTTAAATAACCACCAGCATGAGCAGACAAGCGGCCCACCAGCCTAACCTTACCCCTGTAAAACGTCCCTATTCGTTAGTTATTGAGTTTTAGGGGGTTGCGCCTCTTTAAAATGTCCTCTTCTACCTCCCTATTCGTTAGTTATTGAGTTTTAGGGGTTTGCGCCTCTTTAAAATGTCCTCTTCTACCTCCCTTGGCCTCTCTTCATCTATCGTAACGACGGACACGTTAACAGGCAAAATAATATGGACATAGCACCTGGTGCAGCAACACAAACCACGAATGTACGGAAACATAACTACATACCAAATGTTGGTCTCGGTGCCTTTGTAGCGTTGCGGGAGAGAAAATTTGTCACTTGACATTACTGCAGTGGATAGGGGACGAAGGGTTGCTGATGTCGGAGCTGTAACGAAACAGGTGGATTGCGTCAGGTTGCGCAGCTGGGGCAGCAGCCGACGTAGCATGACCTGCGGACAGAAGAGTACATACAGTCAGCTGACTAGGCAGGCTGGCTGGACATCAGCAACACCCAATAAGGAGGCAAAACGAGCCAGCTGTCACACTCCATCCAATGTTCATACACCATGCTTGGGACATCTGAAACCTCTGCTGGACTGGGGTCACTAACTGCAGTGTTGGTAAGACCACAAACTTGGATGAAACAGGGCAGAAATTTGTCTTCACCTGGACCTCACACTTGTGAAAAGATTCTCAATAATGAGCATGCATATACAATATATATATATATATATATATATATATATATATATATATATATATAAATACTGGTTTCATAGCCCTGATGAAATACATTTCCAATTTATTTCACACCAAGTTCATTTCCAATTCTCACACACTTTCCTCCCTGTTCCAAACACTCTTATTGCTATGCTGTTGTCAGGGATGCAGACTCAAAGAGAGCACAGGGGCCCGTGTCTAGCTGCCTGGGTCACTCAGAAGCTGAAGGACCCCTGGAGACTGAATATGAAGGATCTGAAGGGCTGGCTGAAGGCAATATTCTGGAGTGTCTCTCAAATGCTGGTCAGGGTCAGAGGACCTCTTAGGCCAATCTGCACACCATGGGACAATGAGGACTTCTTTATTGGTCAGAGACTGTTAACATCACACAGCCTTTCCTATGACAGACTATCGACAGACAGACAATGACAGACAGACATAAACATCCAGACACGGACAACCATTTGACAGACCATTGACAGACTGACCCCCTTTGCCATTGACAGACCACTTTGCATCAGTGAAGGCCACCATGATGTTGCTTACTGGTAGCTGGTGAATACAGAAGGCTGGGGTGGAAAGGCCATTTGGACCCTGACCTGGAAAGGTCATTATCTCCTTGCAAGGTATGGAAAAGAAGTCAGATTGAAGGCATGAAGAAGAAGTGAAAATGAAGTCAATGTCAGCTTGCAAAATCAGTTGGAAAAATCAGTTGGATTGAACAAGACAAAATGAGTTGGAAAGAACAAGGCAAAACCCTGAACCAAATCTTGTGGAAACCATTGTGTTTTTTTTTATTACCAAAACCATTTCCACATAGATGCAGGAAGCAGATCTACTTAAACTGCATGGCATCAACAAATATCAGAGTTTTGCTGAGTGATTGAGATGTGGTGTCAGCGTTACAGATGAAGAACTCAAACTTCCATCCATGATGCTTGTTAAAGCAGCCAATCAAAATGGCAAAAAGCTAGTGTTGAAGCAAGCAATAAAAAGAGGAAAACTAAAGTCACATGCAGCCAAAGCAATTGCTGGCTTCATACCTAGGTCTGACCCCTTTTTTACCCATGGGCGCCCCACTGTCTGGGAAAGATCAGAGGGCCTCCTGAGTCATAGGTGCTTAATTCACTTGGCCCTTGCGTGATCATGCTCAATGGCATAGCAGGATCAAGACAAAGCAAATTTGTGGCTCTTTTGGATAGTTAGCCCCATGGAGCTTTTCTGGAGAGAGAGGAAACTGGGGCTTTCTCCAAGGGCCTTTCATTCAGCTAAGTGCTATGCCTTTTCCCTTTACTGTTCATGCACTCACCAAGACTGGCAGTGTCTCCAGCTGTTGTACATAGGGAGGGTGATAGTTGATGGCATTATGCAGTGACCTTCTCTGAGTACACATCAATTGCCTCAAAGTTAAAAATAAATATTTGACAAATAGAACAACAAATATCATAAGACACCAAACAAAATCTCAAAGCTACATATTGTTGGCTTTATCTATTGGAAAGTAGCCCACCCAAATTAATTTAAGAAATACATTTACATATCAAGGCCAATCACAGGGCAAACAGATGGTTCTTTTTTTAGCCCACATGCTTAATGTGGCATGAGGCATAACTGGGATGGAGGAGATTTTTGACCAAAGTAACAGGCACCTTGTCTGCAAAAACCATCCACTGTGCTGGATACTACGCATTCATTATCCTCTGAATATGGCTCCAAACTTGTATGCACTAATATACATGTAAATAGTTGAGCGCCAGAAGTTTTCAGTCCGAATGAAGGGGGGGGGGGAGCCAGGTGACCGTAGGTATGTACTATGGCTTGGTACCAGTATAGAATAACTTTTGCAAGTCCTACAACTGCCCGTATCAACTGAATGAATAAGGCAAACCATACAATATTGGTCACAATGGCCATGAGCAATATTTTGGCATCGCCGGTGTGGGCCTCGCGCTCCTTGAAACGGTCTTAACCAGCTAAATCTAGAATAAAACGCACACAATGTTGATGCTAGCTAATACGAACAAGATTCTGAAATACTTCTGGCACCTCCATTTAGGTCTACAAACCCCACGAATATACATAGCGTTACACCCCCCATCCTCACCCGACCAGTCCGCGTCCAATGGTGCGTGCCCCGGAGCCGCGGTGCGGCGGATAGCCGATTTTGCGAAGATAAAGCTCACCAACTATTGTCAACTGATCGTGACGTCACCAGACCGCAAATCTCTGCTAGCTTGGTAATGCTTCCGCGTGGGAACGAGTGGTAGGGGACGGAACCAGACGGGATCAGACGGGACTGAACAGAGCCGAGAGGAACCGGACGCCATCGGACGGGACCGGATGGCATCGATGGCACGTAATGGGACCATTCGGAACCGGATGGCTTCGGACGGACCGGACAGGGCCAAGGGCACTTGGGAAATGATCGAGCCAAAGCATAGGAGATCAGACGATATCGAACACCACCGGACGTCACCAAACCTGACCGGACGGCGCCGGATGGGGTGTAATGAGTTCTGACAAGACTGAGCAAGATAGGAAGCAACCGATTCGAACCGGACGAGGCGGCCTGGGACTGGACGGTTCCGCGCAGGACCTGGCGCGACGGAACGAGACCCGACGGAATTGAATGGGACTGTACGGGACTAGACGTAGCTAAAAAAAAAATGGCGGACAGGTTTCAACGGAACCGAATGAGACCAAACCAAAGCCGACTAGATTTGGTGGGACCAAGTATTCGGTACCATCCAGCCTCGTCTAGTCCCATCTGGGCCCACCTGGCCAGGGAACAGGAAGCGACATCCCGTCTTTGTTACGCGTAAACCGCACAACTTTGTGTAGCTTCTCGTTATACCTGCGCAGGGTCACTTCGTTGCAGTTGAAGCACCAAACCGTCCAGCCCTCGGCGCGCACGGCGAGCGCGTGCGAGGCGGAGTGGGGCGTGATGCGCGTTGGGGCCGGCGCATCTACAGTGGCCGCACTGCAGGCATATCCTGTACAAATCAACGGAGCCCTGTTGTCACAGACCTGTCATGATCTGTCGACCTGCCTTCATCTGGCGCCTGACGTTCTCCACGCTGACGCCCTTACCTGCGTGGGCACACTGCCTTACTCTGTGGTGTCAGGAGGTGCACAGGTGCTTCTCCTCTGGAGAAGCACCTAGTGTGAACGTTACTGAAGCTGTATCCCCCCCTCCCCCGACTATGACAATTGCAAAACGCTGTCAGAGCCAAGTACTCCTCGGTCCATCGCCCGACAAGAAAGCAGGCATGTGCCCGACACCGACACAGGCACCGCCCGACATGCAATCAGCGCAAAACAGCCTAGCCCAAGACTTTCGACAAACTTTTTTTGTCGGTGGCGCAGAGGCTTCGCCGACAGGGACTGATTAAAACTGAAACTGCTGAGTGAGGCTTGCGTGTTTTCTGTTTTCTTTTCTGCATTCGGTTGCTTTAATTGCAGCACCGGCGTTTGTTGGGGATGGGGTAAGGTCGAAGGCGGCAAACGTACTGATGCATGTGACATTTCATACCAGGCTCTCACCGTACGCGAACGGGAATGTGATCACCCCCTCGGGTCTTTTAACTCCCTCCCCCCCCCCCCGGTTGATACCAGTGGATTCCAGGATAAGTGGGATTTCGGTAGTCTGCAATGCTTGCTTGATTACGTCATTGAATCCTATATGTCTGGGCAGTCGTCCAGCATTCAGACGAACAGTCAGTGCTCGACATCCCTTAAATGTCTATTTCTGTCCCACCTGTAGTCCCGCCAGCTGATCATGTTGGTAATGTTAACTTAAGACACGTTTTTGTGAAAGAATAGCATGAATTGTGTTAAGGAAAAACATAGATTGATTAGGTAGTGACGAAAATATTTCTCGCTAGGTGAATACTGGGACGTTCAAATGACCGTTCAATGGCAAAACATGTATACAAACTTTTTCGAAGCGCTACGCCGCTACCGCTTTGATATTCTTCTGGACGTCCCAGGGGCGACTTAACGTATCGATCGGGACTAGGCGTGGCTCCAGAAGGACAGGGTGACACCGCACATGGTACGGTCTTCTCTGGATTGGCTGGAGGAACATCTCCCTGGAGTGCACACTAAAAACTGCTGTTGGGTGGCTTCGCATGTGGCGCTCAACATGTCGCCACTGGACTTAATACTGTGGGAAGCTTTAAGAACATGTCCGCATGAACAAGCCAGCAAACCTTCAAGAGCTCAACCTTACCTTCAAGCTTGAAATGGGACGGATCACTGTCGACAAGATCGACAAGATGACAACCATCCGCAGCAGGTTCAGCTGTTACGCATCCTGAACGACCAGGAGTTCATGTGGACCGTCTTTTGCGGTCACTATTTAACAGATATGAGATCTGTGAAACATGGGAAAACTAACAATGTCGCTGTTTGTGCTTTGCCATGAGGTTTGCAATCAAATGCAACCACAGCCACTTCTGTACGACAAATGCACTTGCCATTGTTAAGAGAAACGTAAGTTATCTTTCGTTTGGGCCACCCTGTACTTTAAAAACCTGCCGCATACTGCAGTCTTTTTTTGTCCAGATCCACCTGTGTTGTATCATGAAAACCTGCCAACCTTTACATATTGGCCAAAATTACGGGAGAGTTCGCATTATGAAATCTTGACGTGCCTACAGCATGCTATTTGGTAAGAAATGAGCACGGTTTTAAGAGTGATATGTTTAGTCACCTAATGTACCAGCGGTTCAGACAAATTCGCTGGATATTATTGCCCAGTATTTCATTTCGTGTTCATATGAATAGAGGGAGTAGGGAATGCTCAGAAGAGCATTGACAGGGCTCAAGTCAACATCAATGGTAAGGAGGGGGGGGGGGGGGGGGGGGCTCAGGCCGCCCCGGAAGCATGCAGAGGGACGCCCCCGTGTCTGAGATTTCCGGACTCGTCTTTTCTTTGTTAGAGATCTACTTCTTGCATTCTTTGCGGACGAAAGGAAAACGTTAATCTTTGCCGAAAGATGTGAAAATGGGTAAATTTGACAAATATTCAGGTAGAAAAGCGAGCAGCTAAGTCGATGGAAACACTCCCTGGCTGCTTAGATATGCATCGTTACTGAGCTTGCCCCTGAACAAAATCCTTAACTTTTCAAACGATAACTAGTGTTCCGGGTAAGATGCACTGTACCAAAGTACTCGCCGCGGGGTCATCAAACTCCAGCTCGGCCCAGCTCAGACTAATGGACATATGGTCGAGGCCCGGCCCAGGCCAGTGAATATTTTGTCCCAACTCTGGGCTCAGGCCAGACCAGTGGACGTTTATTGCGGGTTCAGCCCAGATTAATCGAGCTTTAGTCCGGGCCCAGCCCAGACCAGTGGACATTTGGTCCGGACCCCGTGCCCAGCCCAGGCTAGTAGACACTTAGTGGACAGCGGACACTCTCCCTGGCCGGTCGACATCTATTCTGGGCCCAGCGTAGGTTAGTGGTCACTTAGTGGACATTGAACACTCTCCCTGGGCGGTTGACATCTAGTCTGGGCTCAGCCCAGGTCAGTGGGCACTTAGTCCGGACCCAGCGCGGGCCCGTAAGCTAATATAGCGTGGTGACTACAAAAGTGGAAACAGAATAAACGTTCTGGCGTGTTTGGTTTACACAGAACTCCCACGAATCTAACATCATTGAGCGCATCATTTCGCGAGGCGGTGGTCGCTCTCCAGACAGAAGATCCGCCGCCTCTCTTGGGCGTGCGAGGTGGCGCCGGTCCATTTCCAAACAGAGGGTCCGCCGCCTCTCCCTGGGCGTGCGAGATGGTGGTGGTCCCTCTCCAGACACCGGATCCATCGTCTCTCCTTGGGCGTGCGGTGTGGCGGTGGTCCCTCTCCAGACGCAGGGTGGGTCTATCTTCTCTCCTTGGGCGTGCGGTGTGGCGGTGGTCCCTCTCCAGAAACAGGGTCCATCGTCTCTCCCTGGGCGTGCGGTGTGGCAGTGGTCCCTCTCCAGAAACAGGGTCCATCGTCTCTCCTTGGGCGTGCGGTGTGGCGGTGGTCCCTCTCCAGACGCAGGGGGGGGGGGGGGGGGGGGTCCATCGTCTCTCCTTGGGCGTGCGGTGTGGCGGTGGTCCCTTTCCAGAAACAGGGTCCATCGTCTCTCCTTGGTCGTGCGGTGTGGCGGTGGTCCATCTCCGGGCGCAGCATCTGCCGTCTCTCGGACGTATGGTGTGTCGGCGGTCCCTGTCAAGGCCTAGGATCTGCCGCCTCTTCTCTGATATGAAGCGTGTCGGCGACGCCTGTCCAGACGACCCATAAAACGCCGATGAAATTGGATTTATTCAACTTTATGAGCGTCACATTTTTACAACTCGAAAAAGAATACCCTGCCGCACCGCATGACATTTGCCAATTCTGAGAGAGCGTCCGAGCCCGCGAACTCAGAGACCCTTCTATTTGTGTCTAGCTTTATTGT